AAGATGGCTGGTGAGATGGGTCACATGATTAAGTGTAATACAGCAAAAAACAGCAATGTAGAGAGCTGGTCAAGAGAAATCTCTTCTGTTTGGTCAGTTTAGGATTGGACAGATGTTAAATATTGAACCTAAGAGCTGGGACTTTATCTGAGATGAAAAGCTTTACCGGGCATTCTGGAACAATGTTGGAATGCAGCTTTAGGAAGGTGCCAGGAAGATGGCAGCAGAAGCCATCTGAGAAAATAGCTGTTGTTATAGGAGTAGGATTAAACTGTAATATGCAATACACAAAATGTAGCACATTGTCTCTGGGCTAGCACTCTCTTGGCATAGTTTTCTTTTATGAGACTGACGCACTACTTACTGCACTGACAAGGTACCTGGCATAGCTTTCTTTTATAGTAATATAAAGGGTTGGTAACATCAGGCCAACCTACAAATAGGGACAGAGGTCAGGGTTTGTTAGAACAGTGGCAATTTTAGTTATTGGTTGCCTTAGGAGGGACTTGGAAATATCAACTTGGGCTAGTTATTATAAATGCTTTAACTATGGCTAAGTAGCCTTGATAGCTGGAAATCTACTGTATATAGTACCTGCCTATACTTAAAAAGATGTGCATCTGGGAGAGAATTCAGGGGATGGTAGATGCCTTTGATTTAAACTTGGTTAGATGTTTCGTTGAAAGATGACATGTTCCAAATATTTTATGTTGTTCTGAAAAAGGCAAGCTTTTCTTTGGAGGTCTTATTTCCTATCTTCCAAGGGAGGTAGTAGGACTAAAGAGTTTATTTCTCCTGGCTGTCAGAGCATGGTGTACATCATCAATGTTTTAAACCAGAACTAAATTGTTGGAGAAACAACTGCATCTAGGTTTACTTTTAATGAATAAAAAGAATTGGAGGGAAATTCACAGTAGCCCTGAAGCAATCTGACTCATATATAGCTGTCCTTAATAGTTGAGGGAACAATTATTAACTCTCTTCCTCTCATAATTAAAATTTCCAACAACGATCCTCACTTGTTTTTAATACTTCTTTCCCTCCAAGAAATCTCAAACCACTACAGCTTTTTTTTTTTTTAAGATTTTATTTTTAAGTAATCTCTACACCCGACACAGGGCTTGAACTTAAAACTACAAGATGAAGAGTAACATGCACTATGTTGGAATGCACCAGATGCCCCTGAAACCACTACAATTTTAAGGATAAACTATGTCATGTCTCCCTATTTTTTTAAATATTTACCTTATATAGCTAAAGAAAAATGGAGCTAAATAAAAGAAAAATGGAGCTAAACATAATCCAGTCTTTTGTTTGCCCTCCTTTTTCTTTACTTGTCTCTGAAAGATGCCTTAATGGGAAGTCACAGAAGTTTTGGGGAATAGATTCAAACCTGAAGTTTTGGTCTAAGTTTCAGAAGAGACATATCCTTAATTAGAATTCAATGTAAATCAGAGCTATACATATCATGATGAGCAAGTACATCAGTATAATTCCCCAGCCCAAATGGGCTCTGTTGGGACAGATACCTTCTGGCCAAAACTTAAAAGATCATAAATGTGTGCAGTGATGCTTAAGATATGTGCACTGAGGTTGACTGCTGTGGATATATAGCCACACTTCCAAGCAATAATGCTCTTCAGTCAGCTGTGCATATGGCTTAGCCAACCTTTAGAACAAAATTTCAATTAAGATGACCAACTATTTGTAGTTGAGGGTTTCATTAATGCAGTCATGTAATATGGTTTCAGGTTACTGATTTTGCACTAACGAATCTTACCTACCTGTTCCCAGAATGTGTTTGTTTTATGGTAGGTACTCAATAAATATATTTGAAAGAATAAATGAGGGGCACCTGGGTGGCTCAGTGGGTTAAGCAGCTGCCTTCAGGTCAGGTCATGATCTCAGGGTCCTGGGATTGAGCTCCGCATTGGGCTCTCTGGTGAGCAGGGGGCCTTCTTCCCCGATCCGCAGTCCCCCACCCTCACCTGCCTCTTTGCCCACTTGTGATCCCTCTCTCTGTCAAATAAATAAATAAAATCTTTAAACAAACAAAAAGAATAAATGAGGGAACGACTGACATTATTTTTACTATTACTGTTACCTTATTTGAAAAATAAGTATTTGAACAATTTAGTAATATATAAGACAAAGGCTGGTAAAACATAGTTTCTAAAGGAGGATAATCAGGGGCCCTGGGTGGCTCAGAGGTTAAGCATCTGCCTTCAGGTCAGGTTGTAATCTCAGAGTCCTGGAAACAAGCCCTGAATTGGGCTCTCTGCTCAGCAGGAAGCCTGCTTCTCCCTCTGCCACTTTCCCTGCTTATGTTCCCTCTCTCACTGTCTCTCTCTCTCTCTCTCTGTCAAATAAATAAATAAATAAATAATAAAATAGGATAATCAAAGAGATCCTATTTCATAATAAACTGCTTATAATATTAAGTAGTAGAAAGAATGGTCCTATAAAAACATAAATGTAAACTATGTTTAGATTTAGCTTATAAAGCTTAACACCTAGATCTACCTAAAAATAACTCACATAAAAATACTAATATCTTATTATTATAGGTATGAATTATTATTCTTTTAGACAAAAACAGCTGTCATTTAATGATTCTGGCCTTTTATATTTTTATTACTTCTATTTCAACCCAGTCCTCCTTGGGAGTTTATAATTGCCTGTGCTTCAGACTCTTGTATTCAAAAAGTATTCTTTTTTTTTTTTTTCTTTAAAATATTTTTTTTTTTTAAGATTTTATTTGTCAGAGAGAGAGGGAGAGCGAGCGAGCACAGGAAGACAGAATGGCAGGCAGAGGCAGAGGGAGAAGCAGGCTCCCTGCCGAGCAAGGAGCCCGATGTGGGACTCGATCCCAGGACGCTGGGATCATGACCTGAGCCGAAGGCAGCTGCTTAACCAACTGAGCCACCCAGGCGTCCCTCAAAAAGTATTCTTAAAGAGCTTACTCCCTCTCCTAAATCAGATAATTCACTTACAGTAATAGAGGTAATATATTAGGGTACAGACCTGGTAGATGGGATAATGAAAGCATGGGGAAGTCCTTTTTTCTTTTTTTAAGTTGATTTATTAAGTAATCTCTACCCCCAATGTGAGGCTCTAACTCATGACCCCACGATCAACAGATGCATGCTCTTCTGACTTGGCCACCCAGGCACCCTGGGGTTAGTTCTTCTCTAACTGAAAAAGGATGCAAGATACAAGCTAAATGGAACACATACATAAGTAGAAAATGGTGCAGGTTCGATAGAGAGGGTATAAATAGTTGTCTAGGAAAGTGGTACTATGAATAGTCTAGGAAAATGTTTTAGGATTTTAAGCTGTATGCATGATTATCTTATATGCTTAATTCAACGATCATTATTGCTGTAAGCTTAATAGATGGTCTTTAGTTTCCTGCCACTACTTCTTACCTCTTAGATGTATCTCCATGGTGTTATTGAATATTTTCTTCTAAAAACACAGCAGGGGTGCCTGGGTGGCTCAGTGGGTTAAGCCTCTGCCTTTGGCTCAGGTCATTATCTCAGGGTCCTGGGATCGAGCCCCACATCAGGCTCTCTGCTCAGCAGGGAGCCTGCTTCCCCCTCTCTCTCTGCCTGCTTGTGATCTCTCTGTCAAATAAGTAAATCTTAAAAAAACACCATACAGCAATATTTATGTATTTATTTATTTTTAAGTAAACGCTGCCCCCAATGTGGGGCTCAAACTCATGACCTGGGGATTAAGAGTAGCATGCTCTACCAATTGAGCCAGCCAGGGACTCTAAAAATACAGCTTTTATCAGTTTCCTCAAAATTAAAAAACCTCTAATGGTTCTGAGCTAGTGCATCCTTCTCAGGACAATATCCTTTAAATCTAAGCCTTATCTTACCTCTCTAGGTGTCTCCTTCATCCCATACCTTCAAACAATTCTACATTTTAAGCGCTAAGATTATTGAAGTTCTTGAAATAAACTATGCTCTTCCATGATTCTGCTTCTGACTATATTGTTTGTATCGAATACCTGTAAGTCATTTAAAATTCTCTCTTTTTTTAAAGATTTATTTATTTGACAGATCACAAGTAGGCAGAGCGGCAGGCAGAGAGAGAAAGGGAAGCAGGCTCCCCGCTGAGCAGAGGGCCCAATGTGGGGCTCTGTCCCAAGACCCTGGGATCACGACCTTAGCGGAAGGCAGAGGCTTTAACCCACTGAGCCACCCAGGCGCCCCAAATTCTCTTCATTCTTGAAATGATTTACCTCAAATGCTAAAGTGTTCATCCATTTAACTAACATTTAAGTACTTACAATGTACCAGGCACTGGGCATATAAAGCAAAAAAAAAAAAAAGATAGTGAAAAATTAATATAAGGGAGTATGTGTTCAGTTCTTATAATGAACGAACCAGAATTACATCACACTGATAAAGATTAAGAACATTAAGTAAACAAGGGGTGCCTGGGTGGCTCAGTGGGTTAAAGCCTCTGCCTTCAGCTCATCAAGCCCCGCATGGGGCTCTCTGTTCAGCAGGGAGCATTCTTCCCCCTCTATCTCTGCCTGACTCTCTGCCTACTTGGGATCTCTGTCAAATAAATAAATAAAACCTTAAAAAAAAAAAAAAAAGAACGTTAAGTAAACAAGCAAACTGCAAAAGGATATCACATTACTGGTTGTTAAAAATTATGCAAAACAGTACTATGTATGAAATTAAAAATAAAGATGCTTGGGGGAGTGGTTACCTTGGGCAAGAGGAACAGAATGAAATTGCGTCGAGGAGACAAAGGACTTCAATTTATATTATCAAACAATTTATGTTATTTATTTCTCCAGTTAGATGGCGAGTACACAATGTTTGAGTTACACTTCTGTTTTTATCTTTTGTCTAAAATAATTCTACTTTTTAAAAGAATCTATAAGGCTTGATTCCTTCCTGCAGGCATTGCCGATCCGTCTCATAACCAGTAACTTAAAATTACCTTCCATCTCTTGTACTCTCTCGTTTCCCTTTATGCACGCCAACAGTACCCTTGACCTTAAGGATAGGAAGTTCCAGGTATCACCTCTGGGTATATTCACACGTAATCCACTTCAGCAGATTCCTGTTCCCTGCAGCCCTCTCAGGCCCACCATGCCTTCTAAGAATTTCAGCCTGACCCTTTCAGCCGACCCTAGAATAGCTCCCCTCAAATCCTTGATTCCTATTCCCCTTCTCCCGGGAGACCTCGATTCGTCCCTAGAGCAAGACCAGAATGCGCCTCCCCCAACGAACCCTGGAAATATCGCCCCTTAGAAGTCTGAGATCCAGTCATATCACAGGCTGCCTTTCTCCTCAACTCCAGCCCAGAGCCGCAAGCCCAGCGTTTCGCCCGTCAAGCGGCGATTCAGCGCGTCCCCCCATTCCCTACGCAACACCACTTCCGGCCGAACCTTACCACCCATAAACATCTCACTTCCAGAAGGAAAAGGACAGGCTCGGCCTTCTGCGCACGCTCCAAACCAGAGGCCCCGGTCCGCCTCTTTCCTGTCCAAGCGCTCCCGCGGCAGTCTCGCGGTATTTTCTTCTCCCGCGGGAGTTACTTGAACGCTCGGGCGGTAATTCCAACTTGGAGGCTCAGCTGCGGGCTAGCCCGATCCTGTGGGGGCTTTGTAGACTTGACCTGTTCCGTCGGGCCCCTGCACCCCGGAGCGGACGAGGCTTGTCCCGGCCAGGTCCTGCCGCCATGGGGGCGGAGAAAGAGCCGCTGCCGGTTAAAGGAGGCCTTCCAGCGGACGCAGCAGCAGCACCAGAACAAGGTCACCAGCACTGAGCCGCACCTACTGCACGGTAAGCGCCGCCCCGGGTCTCGACCCTCGCCCTCCTGGGACCAGCCTTCCCCAGGAGCCTCCCGTGGCCCTCCGGACTCCAACCTTCTGAACCTTCCCCACCCAGTTCAGAGAGGTCTGGAGGTCAGCCCGACGTCGCCCCGGCACCCCCTCTCCCCAGGGGCCTCCGGCCGCCCCCACCCCCGCCCCGCGGACCTCCGAGTGACTCGTGAGCGCACGCACATCCCGACAGTCTTTATAAGAGGATTGTAGTGAATTGTAGTTTGAATTTTAGTACCATTTTACCTGGTTTACTTATTTAGAGACCAGTATTGCATTTAATGATCACAGTTCGGTGTCTCTTCAGGTTAAGAGCTCACTGATTTTAACATAAATCTGCATTTCATTAACCAGGTTTAAAATACATACATAAATACAAATTTGTATTTCTGCCCTGTAATGATTTTAACAAAACACACTTCTTTCTTATTGACAAAATCAGTGTAAGTAAGCGCATCTTTGCTACAAACCAGCTATTTTTCAGGTTGATACACTTAATTGGCTTTTATTATGGTTTTAAGAAATAGAAAAAAAAAAAGACTAAATAGACTGGAGGAGCAAGATATTGGTGGAGCCGGGGACCTAAATTTTGTCTGGTCCCAGGAATTCAGCTAGATACCAATCCATTCTGAACACCTACAAACTGAACAGGATATTGAAGAGAAGAATAGCAGCAATTCTGGGAACAGAAAAGCGACCACTTTCTGGAAGTTTAAAAAAAAATGACAGAAGAATGATTTGAACGAATATATATGGTTGGCTGATTTATTCAGAGGGAAAAAGGTAGAAAAAAACATTTCTTTTTCTCAAGCTAATTTTTCTTATTTGGCAGGATTACACAAAGATTTTTTTTTAAAAACTATTTCACTGGGTGTTTAATTTTTTTTTTTTTTTAAGATTTTATTTGTTTAACAGAGATCACAAAGTAGGCAGAGAGGCAGACAGAGAGAGAAGACTGGCTTCCTGCTGAACAGAGAGCCTGAGGCGGGTCTCCATCGGAAGACCCTGAGATCATGACCTGAGCCAAAGACAGAGGCTTAACCCACAGAGCCACCCAGGTTTGTTTCACTGGATTTTTAAAAACATTTTTTGATTAGTAAATATTTTACATGCTCCAAGTATATAGAAAGAAATTCACCGAGAAGACTTGCTCCTTTCCTAGTCCCCATCCAGTGTTTTCTCTCAGTCTTTTACAGATAACCATTTTTAACTAGTTTCTTGTTTACCCTCAGGTCTTCGTGCAGATACAAGCAAATGTGAATATGCGTTCTTACTTCTTTCATTTCTCCTTCAAGATTTTCTACATTGTTGTGCACTTTGCTTTTTTCATTTAATAGTATATTCTGGATACTCCTTATCAGTTAGATTTCCTCATTTTTTTTTAAGCTGTCACATGTTCCATTTTGTGGACATACTCTAATAGCCAATGCACTACAGGTACACACTTGTGTTGTTTCCAGTATTTATGTATTAGAAATGACTTTTTTTTAAAGTAGTTTCTGTACCCAGTGTTGAGAGCTCGAATTCACAATCCCGAGATCAAAAGTGGTATGCCTTACTGACTGAGCCAGTCGGACACCCCTAGACACAATGCTTTAATGAATACATATTTCCTACATTTGCAGCGGTAACTGTCAGATTATCTGAGGGGAATTGCTGGGTCAAAGAGGAAGTGTATTTGTAAACGTGGTAATTACAGTTGCCCTTCATAGAGTGGTCCGTTCTATCCTCCCAACAGCCAAATATGAGAGCTATTGCTTTTTTGTTTGTTTTTGAGAGTGTTTGGGAACCACTGAAATATAATTCGGAGATTTTTTTTTTTAAGAGTTTATTTATTTATTAGACAGAGAGAACACAAACACAGGGAGCAGGCAGGGAGAGGGGGTAGCAGGCTCCCAGTTGAGCAGAGAACCTAGACCCTGGGATCATGACCTGAGCAGAAGGCAGATGCCCTACTCCTACCTACCCATACCCACTAAGCCACTGAGGTGCCCCTGGGAGGATGTTTTTGATAGATAAGAACATTTATAAGTAATATCCTGAGTAGTGTGGGAATAGAAGTTAAAATGATAAATGATATATCAAAATGAAATTGCTGTGTTATAGGCAGGTGAAATTATAAAAGAATTGACAACTGAACTGTATTTGGTACATTTTTCTAAATAGACTGAAGGATGTGTAGAAGAATCAAAACAATCTTTTGTAATCAAAATCTTAATGCTGCTTTCCTCCGTGGCAGAAGTAATTCAGAAACAGGAGAGAGACAAGTAAATGATTACCAAGTCTATCTTCCTTAATAATTTCTTCTGGATAGATGATTAAAAGTTATTAAGGAATAAAGATTTTAGTTTGATGAGACATTATTAATATCTTGGAGAGTCTTAGGTCAGTGCTAGGGATAAAGACTTATCAATGTAGTTTGTGAAGGATTGGTTTAAATTCCTGGTTGTCAGTAAAGCATTTTTTCAGGAGGCATTTGTTCATACCTTAAATACATTATGATAGTCTGTAAATATGAAATCTGCAGCGAAACAAGAAATAGAATTTGCACCAGTTTATTACTTCATTTAGCCAAGTAGAGGGAATATGAAGACAGTGACATTTCAACTTATTTTAATTATTTTACTTTATCTTGAAAATACTCTGCAAGTTTTCTCAATTTGTATTAACATTTGCAGTGAGTGTATTTATCATCTAAAAACTTACTGGGTGAAAGCCTTCAGGGCTTTAATAATTTAGAGAGAAGACTGCTAGGGGTCTGAATTTATATATGATGATAAATAGGGGCACCTGGGTAGCTCAGTCGGTTGAGTGTCCAAGCCTTGATTTCAGCTCAGGTCGTGATCTTGGGGTCATGAGATAGAGCCCCACATCGGGTCCCTGCTGCCAAGTCTGCTTGTCTCTCTCTCTCTCAAATAAATAGTCTTTTAAAAAAATAAATAAAATGTTATATGTGATGATAAGTAAGTTTATGTTATATGTACCTACATACACATGTTTATGTCACATGAAAGTCACCTTATACATTTTTTCTGCAGGATAAAGTGTGATTATAATCAAAAGCTAATTTACTATATAATGCTAGGTTTACTTTATTATTATAATGCTAGCTTTACTTAAAAAAATTTAAGAACCAGTTTCAGGTAAATATATTTAAATGAGAATTCTACTTAGGAAAGAAGTTAATTTTGGTCCAAATATTATTACATCCTGTTATTTGGCAAATATTATTTCAGGTAAGGGTTACTTTAAGACTATATTAAATGCATATGTAGTATATCTATGACTATGAATGACATTAACGTTAAAGCCTTTTTCTTTTTCCTGTTATTTATATTTTTTATTTTTTGCATAAATTGTAACTTCCTCATGAGTTATTATTAAATTCTAGAATTCTGAACTTAGGGAAAATCAGATGGTTGTCATTATAATGCCTCCTGAGAATAATTTGATTTTTTTTTTTTTTCTTTTCCTTTTTAGGACTGCGGCATATAGCAATGAAGTTCAGTGTTTGTTGTGCCAGATTCTAAATAAGTTCTTGGGAAATATGCTGGGAAAAGCCAGATTGATAATATTTTGTGCATAAAATGGATGAAGCTCTTCTTATTAGACTAAAAGTTAAAAATCCAAATGTGAGGATACAGGTAGACCCGGCTCTTTCAAGACTTAAGACCTATGGGTAATGATTGCCCCAAGGTTAAAGGTACGTGCTACCTCATGGTTTTTGTTTGATTTAATTGCACAGTAGTTAAATTTTTCATTATTAATTATGTAATATATGATGAGAGAAGAGTGTATGTAATACATGCACACATCCCATTTAAATATATGTTGTTTCAGTAGCAATCCTTTGATACCAAATGGGTACCCTGTGATTTAAATACCCAGCATTAGAGTAGACCTACAGGTCAAGCAAGGGCTTATTCCCACAAGACTGTCCCCACTTCAGATACTAGCCACAAGTCTCAGATATACCCAAACTACTTGCACTTTTACCTACCTAACTACAAATTTGGGGGATTCCCATGACTGCCACACCCCCAACTAAGATAGGAGAATTCTCTAGAATAACGGAACAGAATTCAGGTAGGTGCTGTGCTTACTATTACAGTTTTGGTTTTTTAAGATTTTATTTACTTATTTGATACAGAGATCACAAGTAGGCAGAGAGGTGGCTGAGAGAGTAGGGGAAGCAGGCTCCCTGCTGAGCAGAGAGCCTTTTGTGGGGCTTGATGCCAGGACCCTGAGATCATGACCTGAGCTGAAAGCAGAGGCTTAACCCACCGAGCCACCCAGGCACTTCTCTATTACAGTTTTATTGTAAAGGTTACCACTGAAACAGCCAAATGGAAGAGATACATAGGGCAAAGTATGGGGGAAAAGGAGAGCAGAGCTTCCATGACTTCTGTGGGTGTCCTATCTTCCCAGCACATTGATGTGTTCACCAACCTAGAAGCTTGAGCCTGGTTGTTTCAGGGTTTTTTTATGAGATTTCATTGAATAGGTGTGTTGGATTAAATCATTGGCTATTTGAACTCAATCAGCAGTTCCTCTCCCCTACCTGAAAATAAGAGGATGGGCCTGAAAATTCCAGCCCTGTAATCACCTAATTAGCTTTTCAGGTGATGAGCTTCCATCCTGAAACTATCTAGGGACCACTAACCTCCACCTTGAGTCACCTCATTACCATAAACTCTAGTAAAGTTACTCTGGATTCCAGAATAACCAACGACACTCCTTTCACTCAGGACATGCCAAGGTTTTTGAGCTCTGTACCAGGGACAAAGATCAAATACATTTTTTTTTTAAAGATTTTATTTATTCATTTGACAGAGATCACAAGTGGGTGGAGAGGCAGGCAGAGAGAGAGGAGGAAGCAGGCTCCCTGCTGAGCAGAGAGCCTGATGTGGGGCTCAATCCCAGGACCCTGGGATAATGACCTGAGCTGAAGGCTTTAACCCACTGAGCCACCCAGGCGCCCAATACATTTTTTTATTACTTCATGAAAGAATAATAAAATGAACACATATCCCAACATCTGAGTTAAGAAATGGAATGCTGAAGTACCTTTTTAAGTGTCTTGTGCCTTTTTCTGAACGTATTTCCCCTTCCTTCCTTTCCAGAGGAAAACATTATCCTGAATTTTGTGTCACTCATTCATTACCATGCTTTTCTTTAGAGTTTACTTTAGTTTTAAGGCTACCTAGATGTATCCCAAAATATGTGCTTTATCTTTGCCTTTTTTCACCTTAATATAAATGGAGTTATATTACATATATGCTTTTGTAACTATTTTTTTCCACTTAGTACTGTTTCTGAGAATCTAAAATCCCAAATTTATGCTTGTAGCTATAGTTCATTCCTTTTCACTGTTAGATAGTAATACAGCACACTTGAATTATCCAGTCTATTGTGTGCTGTTATGAGCTAAGCTTTTTTTTTTTTTAACCACAGTGAGATATCACTTTATGTACTTATTTTTAAAGATTTTATTTATTTATTTGAGAGAGCAAGGGAGAGATAGCATAAGGGCAGAGGGAGAGGGAGGAACAGACTCCCAGTTGATCAGGGACCCTGAGATCATGACCCAAGCCAAAGGCAGACACTTAACCAACTAAGCTACCAATGAACCCCATGAACTGAACTTCTATCAGTATTCTCAAACATGTGTAAGAATTTCTTTGGCTAATAATGCCTAGTGGCAGAGTTGGGACTGAATTATGTATCCACAAAGTTCATACGTTGAAGCCCTAATTCCCAGTACCTCAGAATGTGACTGGATGTGAAGATAGGGTCTTAAAATAGGTGACTAAGTTAAAATAAGGCCTTTGAGACGGGGCCCTCATCCAGTCTGACTGGTGTTGTAAAAGAAAAGGAAATTAGAATATGTAGAGAAGAAAGACCATGTGAGGGCACTGCAAGAAGACATCTATCTACAAGCCAAGAGTCTCAAGAACTCAAACCTGTCAACACTTTGATCTTTGGTCTTCTAGCCTCCAAAAAAAGTAAGATAAATTTCTGTTGTTTAAGATACCTAGAATATATTATTTTTTGTTAGGGCAATCCTAGTAAACTAATAAAGTTAGAATTGTTAGGTGGTAGGATTATGTACCTATGTAGCTTAGTTAATAATACTGTTATTTTTTTTAAATAATTGGAATAATTTCCAGTCCTACTAGCAGTGTATGAAAATCCTTATTTTGCATTCTTGCCCATGTGTGATATTGTCAGGCTTTACTTTTTCTAGTCTGGTAGGTGAGGACTGAAATCTTAATGTTCATTTTCAATTGCATTTTTCTGACAACTAAGAGTTGAATATTTTCATATGTTTCTTTTTCTATGTCAATAAAATACCATTTATATCTTAGTCCACCTTTTTTTATTGTGCCATGTTGTTACTTATGGACAGAAGTTAATTTTATAAAATTTATCCTTTAATTGGGGTGCTTGGGTAGTTCAGTGGGTTAAAGCCTCTGCCTTCGGCTCAGGTCATGATCTCAGGGTCCTGGGATTGAGCTTCACATCAGGCTTTCTGCTCAGCGGTGAGCCTGCTTTCCCCCTCTCACTCTGCCTGCCTCTGTCTCTGCCTACTTGTGATCTCTGTTTGTCAAATAAATAAAAATCTTAAAAAAAAAATTATCCTTTAATGGCCTGTGTTCTTTTTTATCTTATTTAAGAAATTCTTCCCACCCCCAGAGTATAAAAAAAGATATTCTCTCAATATTTTTCTGAATGTTGTACTTTACATTTAAATCCTTGTGGAATTTTTTTTTAATGTTTGGGAAGCATACAATTTCATATAATTTCATTTTTCCCCATATTAATAACTGTTGGCCCAGCCCTATTTATTGAATAGTCTTTTATTTCTCCTCAGCTGATCAACAGTGGCAGCTTTGTCACCCATCAGAAGTCTGCATGGAATGTGGTCCTCTTTCTTGTCTTTTTCAATTACAATTTTTATCCACCACTAGACCAGCACCACATTGCCCCCCATCTTTTTTTAGAGAGAGAGAGAGAGAGAGAGAGATTGAGATTGCAGGGGTGAGGGGAGAGAATATTAAGCGGGCTCCACACGTGGAGCCCAATATGGGACTCAGTCCCATGACCCTGAGATCATGACCGGAGACAAAATCGAGTCAAATGCTGAACCAACTGAGCCACCCAGGCGCCCCTATGTTGTCTTTTTTTATTTTTATTTTTTTTAATTAAGATTTTGTTTATTTGAGAGAGAGAGAGGAGATCACAAGTAGCGGGGAGGGTAGAGGGAGAAGCAGATTCCCCATTGAGCAGGGAGCCTGGTGCAGGCACCCCCCACATTGTCTTAATTATTATGTTTTTATAATCTTAATATCTGATAGTATTTTTAAAAAGTTTTTTTTAAAGATTTTATTATTTGACAGAGAGAGAGAGCGATCACAAGTAGGCAGAGAGGTAGGCAGAGAGGGGCGGGGAAGAAGGCTCCCTGCTGAGCAGAGAGCCTGATGTGGGGCTTGATCCCAGGACCCTAAGATCATGACCTGAGCTGACGGCAGAGGCTTAACCCACTGAGCCACCCAGGCGCCCTTCAAAAATTTTTGTTTTTAAATGATATTTGACATATAATTGTTTAATAATCAACATGTACGTGATCCTGAAACTGTCAAATGTGGAAGTAGAGCTAAATAATTACATTTAAGCATAGGAAATGGGTTTTGTTTCTAAGATTAAAGAATCTTTTCAAGGCAGCACAATTAAAATCAAACTAATGGGACTTTTAAAAGCCATTTCTAATATGGGACTCAAGTTTGGGGTCTTTTGGATGGGGTTTTAGGTGAAAAAATATGGTGGGCCATGAGCTGGTAATTGGTGAAGCCACTTTAATGTATTAATTTTATAGGTTTCAGTGGTTTATTTTCTTTTTCCTTTTTTTTAAAGATTTTATTTATTAGCGAGAGAGTGCAAACATAGAAGGAGAGAGAGAAACAGAGTCACCGCTGAGCAGAGAGCCCGACTTCTGCTAGATCCCAGGACCATGAGATCATGACCTGAGCCAAAGGCAGATACTTAACTGACTGCGCCTCCCAGATGCTCCAAGGGCTTATTTTTTTAATAAATACAGAATTCATCACTTGTTATATAATTATATTGGGTCTTTACTGCTTTGTCTTTTTGTTTGTTAAGATTTTGTTAGCTTAGAGAATTCCATGTCTTCAACAGGCTAGTGGTAATATCATGTCATATGTTAATAAAGTTAATAGATTTGAAAATCATACTTCTTTTTTACTATTATGAAAAATATCAATGAGAATAGTAAAATGAACTGTTATCAATATTTGACCAGTTTTGTTTCTGTTCCTTGTCTCCTGAATGGTCCCCTTCCCCATATACACACACATATACACACACTTCCTGCACCCTACTCTCAGCTAGAATTATTTTAAGTCTTGGCCATTATAGCATTTCCTCTAATATCCAGCATTCAGGTTTTTCTAATTTTCTAAAAAAAATGTCTTCACCCTTGTTTCTTTGAACTGGAATCTAAACCATGTCCATATATTTTGTATGATTAATAATTCTTACTGTATCTTTTAATACATAACAGGCTGTCCTCGCGTCCTTGACGCTTATTTGTTGTAAAGATTAGGTCATTTGTCTAGCTGAATTTTTCATATATTGGATTTGACTGATTTCATCCTCATACTCAAGCTGTTCTACCATGTGTATTTCCTATAAACTGATAGTTAAGTTTAATCATGGCTACAATTGAAGTTTTAACTTTGGGGAGGTTTTAACAAAGTTAGAACTTAGGTAGTGGCTTCTAAACAAAGGTTCTGTTACGTTGATTTTAGGAGGTGAATGACTTCAATAACATTTTTGAAATGGTGTCCTAATATATATGAATAATGGATTACAAAGCAGTGATAGAATTTCTATAAACCAGGTTCCTCTATATCCTACCTCCTCTAACCTCCCTATTTATACAAATGGGGAAACTAAGGCCCAGAGAGTTAAGTATTTGCCAAAGGCCAAACATTTAATTTAATAGAAGTAAGGGTCTTGGGGTGCCTGGATGGTTCAGTTGGTTAAGCATCTGCCTTCGTTCGGGTCAGGTCATGATTTCAGCATCATGAGATCAAGCCCTGCATCAGGCTCCATGCTCAGCACAGTCTTCTTGAGATTCCTGCCTCCTTCTCCTTCCCATGCTCGTGTACTCTCATGCCCTCTCCCTCTATCCCCACCCCAAATAAATAAAATCTTAAAAAAAAAAAAAAGGGCTTTTTTCCACCTTCCATTCCTTGTACAATTTTGCCTCAGTTGTAGATCCCTCCACCTAAAGGTGTTTATGCATCAGAAAAGAGGTGTTCAGGATAGCATCTTTGCCCATCCAACTAGTTTTGGGGGCTAAGAAGGTAAGACATAGTATGCTGTAAACTTTGAATGCTTTGAGTTGTTTTCTGCACTGCCGGTGTGGTAAGTAAGACCTTTGAAAGTAGTAGTCACAGAAAGGACTTAGATAGGACCTAGACCTGAAGCCTGGTATATCCAGGATAGAAAGAATGTAACAAAATCTTTTCTTTTTTCCTTGAAGATTTATTTTTATTTATGTGAGAGAGAGCGAGCACGAGCAAGGGGAGAGGAAGAGGGAGAGAAAGGGGAAAAAACTCCCCACTGAGCACAGAGCCTGTCTCAGGGCTGGATTCCAAGAACTTGGGATCAGAAATCAGAACTTGGATGCTTAACTGTGCATCCGACTCTCGGCCATCTAGTCGCCCCTGCAATAAAATCATTATGGGCCACAATAGTAGTAGGTTATTTGGTCCTAAATAATTTTTATTTATGGTACTTGTTCACCTCATTTCTTTTTGGGCTAGTATGGTTTGTTTTCCATTTTGATTTCTATTTATCCTATAAATACTAGGTGTAAATTAATACTAATTTGAAGAAAATGAGTTATGTAACAATACAGGAAAACTAGAAGGAAGTTACATTCTTCTACAGCTTATATAACTGAACAGATGCTTTGAAATCAGTGATGCGAAACAATCTTCTATAAGCCTCGTTACCCTTCACTGAGATATCTTACTTACTTCATCTGTTTGATATGTAAAAGTGGCCTGCAGTGGCAGGCTCAGTGTTTTCTTTTTTTGTGACTCTCAACAAACTTGGGAGTTTGCAAAAGCAACAGTTGTAGGTATATGACAAAGTAATTCATCATTAAGAGCCATTACCTTGATTATTTTATTTTTAAAAGATTTTTATTTAGTCATTAGAGCACATAAGCAAGGGGAGAGGGAGAGGAAGAAACAGATTCCCCACTAAGCCAGCCTAGGAGCCCAAGGTGGGGCTCGATCCCAGGATCTGGAGATCATGACCCAAGCCGAAGACAGATGAGCCACCCAGGCACACCCCTTAATTATTTTCTAACACAATAGAAATATGTTAGCTGATAGGGCTTTGTAAATTTATAATGCAACTAATACATAAATGCAACAGAGAAAAAATCCCAAATAAATACAATGCAAATAGAAATTCGGGAGCATTTTATTTAATGTGATGAGTATGCTGTCTTTATAAGTTCATTCCAGTCTGTGATACACCAGGGCAATTCTCACATGTCTGATACTCTATTCACACCTGTTTCTTGTGTTCTTAATTTGATTATTTAAAGTACTAATTAGTACTACAGTGATTCTGTTTCTACAGTCTTACTCATCCAAAAGAATGATAAAGTTAATGTCTCCTAAGCATTGTTTAATTTTTATGAAAAATTAGTGTTTTATGTTCTTTTATTCTCAAGTATAACTCGATTTCTGATTCAGGGTTTTTAGAAAGCAACTGACGCTATCCAGATATTTTTCTTGAATGCATCAAATTTTGGGGGGGACATAATGGTTAAAAGGTTGAGACATGACAGTAATAATAAAAAAATAGACAAAATATATGAAACTGTTTTTCAAGACATTCGAGGAATGAAGTACATGAACCCTCAAGGAGAGGAAACAAACAAGGTGAGTTCTATGATTGCTCCAGCTTACTACCTTGAGAGAGTTTTCCCGCTGCATCACAGGGAGGAGGAAACGGAGAGAGAGCCTGGTGGAATCTGATGAGATAGTTGAGTCTGGTGAAACCGATGTGGTTAGAGTTTGCAGCACAGAGTACTAGAGAGAAGAGAGTTGCCCAGGAAAAGAACTCTAAAAACTCCTTGAGTTTTCAGGTGAGTACTAATCAGTGCATGTAGCTGAGGATATTAATTACCTGAGGCTGAGTAAAAGATTACTGGAAGTAATAGAGCATCTCCAAAAGGGCTGGGAATAATAGCTGCACCCACAAGGCAGACTAGAAAACCTCAATGTTCTCAGAGCATTGGGTAGAGTACATTGATGGGTTTCACCTCAGTTGTGGGGAGTAATTTGTCCTTGGTTGAGCATTGTTCTCTCTTGTGTTTAAAGCAAGACTTGAAAGCAATAAATCCTTTCCAAGTAACTGTACTAGAACAAAGATTTGCAGGAATGCAGAAACATCCAATACCCAGAAAGATGAAATTCCTAATGTCTAGCATCCAATCAAATACTATCAAAGATGTAAATAAGTAGGAAAATAGGACCCATAATCAGACAAATCAATTGAAACTGACACATGTTAAAATTTGCAGACATTGTAACTCTTCCAATTGTTGAAAAGTTTAGAGACACAGAAGATGGAAAAACAATCTTCTAGATGTGTGAAATATAAAACACCAGGTGGGAATAATGGCAGACTATTTATATCAGACTACTATATCAGCAGAAAAGATTCATGAGTTTGAAGACCTATTAATGGAAACTCCAAAATCACAGAAAATTTTAAAAAGCATCTAATGTACTATAATAGACTAAGAAGTGGAGAAGAAATATGAAGAAACTGTTGAAGGAATGAGAGCTAAAAAGTGTCTAAATATGACGAAAACTATAAACCTATATAGATTTAGGATCAATGAGTCCCAAGTACAAGAAGCATGAAAAAACAGGGGCACCTGGGTGGCTCAGTGGGTTAAAGCCTCTGCCTTCAGCTTACGTCACGATCCCAGTGTCCTGGGATGGAGCCCCGCATTGGGCTCTGCTCAGCGGGGAGCCTGCTTCCTCCTCTCTCTGCCTGCCTCTCTGCCTACTTGTAATCTCTGTCAATTAAATAAATAAAATCTTTTAAAAAAATGAAAAAACAATACACCAAGGCACCTAATTGTTTCATATCAGTGAAAGAAAGGAAAAAAAAAAAAAAAGACCAGAGGTTAAATGCACTATACAAGTAATTTGGAAACAAGGTTAAAATATGAGAATGACCTCAGATTTCTTTCAGGAAACAAATTGTAGAAGTTGACATACATAGTGTATTAGAAAGCACCTGTCAGCCTAAAATTATATGCCCAGAGAAAATGTGTTTTAAAAACAAAGGCAAGGGGCACCTGGTTGGCTCAGTGGGTTGGGCCTCTGCCTTCGGCTGGGGTGGTGATCTTGGGGTTCTGGGATCAGGTCCCGCGTCGGGCTCTCTGCTCAGCAGGGAGCCTGCTTCCCCCTCTCTCTCTGCCTGCTGCTCTGCCTACTTGTGATCTTTCTCTGTCAAATAAATAAATAAAATCTTTAAAAAAAAAAAAAAAGGCAAGGGGCACCTGGGTGTGGCTCAGTCTGTTAAGTGCCTGCTTTCTGCTCAGGTCATGGATCTCTGTTTCCTGGGATCGAACCCCATTCCTGAGATCGCTGCTCAGCAGAGTCTGTTGCTCCCTTTCCCTCTGCCTCTTGCCCTTGCTTGTTGTGATCTCTCTCAAATAAAACCTTGAACAAAAATAAAAACAAAGGCAAAATACTCTTTCAGACTAAAGGTGAAAGAATTAATCACTAGCAGGTCTATTACACGAGAAATTTTAAAGAAGTCAAGTCTTTTAAGGCTGACAGGAATACACTAGAGACCAAAAAACAGGTCTGCAACTTGTTACTT